GGGTCTGGGGTCATTGATATCATTCCCTTGATACACACATTAGCTATCTAGGATCAGTATCCTATTTTTCTCCATCCTGAATTCCTCTCAGGATACAGAGTACTGGGGCAGCTGCAGTGGCTGATGGCTTGATCGCTGGCATAATTGCTTGTTTACTGAGATGGCAGGCAACTCTAGAAGCTGGAATCTGGGGCCATATGCAGGCCAGGGGGTCCTGTCCCAGCCACAACCACTCACCCAGCAGGGGAAGAAGGATGAGGACCCAGAAACTGTCTACACAGCACACTGGGCAGAAGCCTCAGGAAAGAAGAGGAGATGAAGGAATCAGTGGTGAGTGGTCACTTTGCAAACCATGTGGGTCCATCTCCACAGACAAGGTAAAGCACATAGAACAAGGCTGTGGAGCAATCATTGTGCCAGCAGGTTTCTGTGTCAAGTTGGCTAGGCTAGGGTTCCCGGTGTTCAGTCAAGCATCTGTCTAGATGTCACTGTGAAGGGATTTTTGAGATGAGATTAACAGGGAAATACAGTTAGCAACTGAGCAAAGCAGGTCAGTCTACATAATTTGGGTGGGCTGCCTGCCCCCACCATAGGTGCTGGTATTGTTAAATTAATGTTTGTGCTATTTCTTTTTAAATAGTTTTTTTTTTTTTTTTTTAAGTATAGGAAAGCCTAATTGCTCTTTGGGAACTGTTGGGTGTGGCCACAGTCTTGACTGAGCCCCTGCACTCTGGTGGCCTGCGGTCTCATCACCAAAGCCACCGCCCAGGTCGGGTGACAGCAGAGACTTTGGTTCTAATGGAAAAGGCCTTTGGGGAGCTGGATGAGCCGGAGCATCTCTGGTCCTCGATGTGCTTGCTGACTTGTTTGGTTTGGCCTGGCCTGGTGTGCAGCTGTTCTGAGCAGACCAAGCTGGGCCTGTCGCTGATGGAGAGCCCTCGCAGGAAGTGGAGGTTCTGCCCAGGGAGAGACCCGAGGCCTTCGGACCCTCCCATCTGCATCCTCCATGTCATGCTTAATAAGACCTCACCTCAAATGTGATTCTGCACATTTTGGTGTTAATAAAAAAAAACACAACACATGAAAAAAAAATTTGGGTGGGCTGCATGCAATCAGCTGAAAGCTTGATGACAAAAACACTGAAGTCATCATAAGAGGAAGGGATTCTGCCTCCAAATGGCCTTTGGACCAAGCTGCTACTCCTCCCTGAGTCTCTGGCCCAATGGCTCATTCTGCAGACTTCAGAGTTGCCAGCCCCCAGAACTACATAAGCCGATTCCACATGTACACCTATCTAGAGCTCTCCAACTTGTCCTGTTTTTCAGAAGCACCCTGACTGCTATAGTCATAAAGTCATATGAATACACAGCAACTAAATGCTCAGAGAAAACCTACTAGACAGGTGTAATGATATCAGTAAAATACAATGATAATGGAGTATTTTAATACAGTATCACAGGGTTGGGCTGATCTAGTGGACAAAAAAAAAAAAAAGGAGAAATTCAATAGTGCAATTATCAAACTAGATTCCAGAGAAATAGTGAAAAGCACACATCTCTGAAGGACATTAAATTTTTTTCAGTCTGTTGGGCATTTTAAATGTTGCATGCATTTGACCTCTATTATTGGTTGAATTCTATTAAGAGTCCTAACCCCCAGAACCTTAGCACATGATCTTTTTTTTTGGAGACCAGGATTCACAGAGATGGTCAAGTACAGATGAGGTCAATAGAGTGGGTCCTACTCCAACAGGACTGGGCCTTTATAAAAACGGGACATTTCAATTTGTGGTACTTTGTTAAAACTGCCCTGCCCTAGAAAGCTAATAAAGCCCCCACCCCAAAATCTTAAGCAATATATCTTCAGACCACTATCCAGTACAATTCAACATACACATATAAAAAATGACCACAGTCTCAACAACTTGGAAACCAAGACAAACTCTACTATGCAAGCAGTAGATGGGTGAGGAAATGAAAAGTGAAATTTGAAAGCATCTCCCAACGCAAAGCAAAGAGGAATGTTTAGTGACAAACGTACAAGACACAGGAAAATCTCATTCAGGGAAAAATTGCAGACTTTGAGTGCCTTACTGATTCAAGATGAAAGCTGACAAAGGAGGTTAGTATTCCTCTTAAGAAATTAGGGGGGGACAAAAGAAGAACAAAAACTGAGCCAAAAAGAAGATAGAAAGATGGGATTCGTAAAGGTACAAGCTAAAGTCCTGTACACATGGTGCCCCATAGCCTGTGGACTCCACCGAAAGACATCTCCAGCCCACTGCTCCAGTCTTCTGTCCTCATCCCCTCGTCCTGCTGCATGGATAGTTCTGTTTTCAATCAGGCATGCTCCTGATCACAGCTGCATCCGCACTGGCAGACATGGACGTGGCTTGGGAGCGACCGACACTTTTTTTTTTCATTTATTTTTATTAGTTGGAGGCTAATCACTTTACAACATTGTAGTGGGTTTTGTCATCCATTGACATGAATCAGCCATGGAGTTACATGTATTCCCCATCCCGATCCCCCCTCCCACCTCCCTCTCTACCCGATCCCTCTGGGCGACCGACAGTTTTTGACAAGGGGCAGGTGGCCGGCCAGGGTGAGTTGGAGCGGTGGAATTGGTTCTTCAGGTCTGGCCCTGCTGCTCAGCATGGTTGCTGTGAGTCCCGAGTACAGCCCTGTGGATGCACACAGTCTCTGCAACCACTCACCAGCCCAGGAACGTGGGGCAGTAGTGACTAGAGCTGCCACAAGCAGAAGTCTGCGAGTCTTTGTGTGTGCACACGCATTCATTTCTCTTGGGTAAATAGATACTCAGGAGTGGAATCATCAGGTCATTATGGTAGGTGAGTGTTTAATATTTTAACATGTGGCCAAACTGCTTTCCAAAGTGTCTGTCCCATCTCCCACCTCCACCAGTGGTGCCTGAGCCTCCCAGTTCTTCCCCGTCCTTGTCAACACTCAGGATGGTCGGTCTTTTGTGTTGTAGCCATTCTAGTGGATGTTAGAAGTTCAGGGTACTTCCCTGGTGGTCCAGGGGCTAAGGACTCCTCGCTCCCAATGCATGAGGCCCAGGTTCAATCCCTGGCTAGGAAACTAGATCCCACATGCCGCAACTACAAATCCCACATGCTGCAACAAAGACCCGGCACAGCCAAATAAAGACACAAACACATTTTGTAAAGTTCAGGAATTTTGAGAGTTGATTGTCAAACATCATTATTTAAAAAATTCAATTGTATAAACTTCCACTTAAATTGTATTAAAGAAAAAAAAAGAGAAAAAAATTGTATTAAAGAAACAAAGGAGATACTCCAAATACATCATGTCTTATTTCACCCCGGTACCTTGGCACAGTGCACCACCCAGGATCTCTTCTGAACCACACGTTCAATGACATCATGTGGGTAGCTGTGTATTTACAACAGTTTGGCCTGGTGGGAGTATTTACCTCACAGAAATCAGCACTGCCTGCAAACCAGGGCTAGACTGGTTATTGTTCGGTTGATTGTGTAGACTTGCTGCTGCTGCTGAGTCGCGTCAGTCGTGTCCGACTGTGTGTGACCCCATAGAAGGCAACCCACCAGGCTCCCCTGTCCCTGGGATTCTCCAGGCAAGAACAATGGAGTGGGATGCCATTTCCTTCTCCAATGCATGAAAGTGAAAAATGAAAATGAAGTTGCTCAGTCGTGTCCGACTCAGCGACCCCATGGACTGCGGCCTATCAGGCTCCTCCGTCCATGGGATTTTCCAGGCAAGAGTACTGGAGTGGGTCACCAGTGCCTTCCTTCTCCATGTGTAGACTTGAGTCTGTAGTAATTACACTGTGAATAACAAAAAGAAAAAGAAAAAACTTCCAATATCAAAAACTACTATCCAGTTCAGCAGAGATTTTGTTCATGTCACCAATGAACATATGAGGTTCCAACACACACCTTTGCTGTTTCACTTTTGTCTTGGTAAGATCAGTGGAAATATCAACCAACGTTTATGTGGGAACCACAGTCAGCCCTCAGTTGCAACCATGGGTCAGGTACCCATCCAAAATTTCGGCAAGTCAACTGAAGAGATTTTGTGAGAATCAATGGGTCATATGGAATTGAGAAATAGTGTATCATGTGTTTTATTGTATATATATTGTAGATTTATTTGTACATTGTGTGTTTACATATTTTATAACCGTAAAATTCATAATAAATTTACATGTCTGTGTCTGTGTGCATATATAGACAGAAATATATACACTCCCCCAACACAGAGGTGCACACACACACACACACAAATAGGCTTACATTTACTTGTCACTGTGGATCAGCATATCACAGCTTTCAGACACAAGGGGACATGCCCCAGCCTGTCTGCTCCATGCAGCAGGTACACAGCATCGCCTAGCCAGTCTGAGCATGGGCTCAGGGAGGGCGCCTGTGCCCCAGCTGCTATAAGGCCCAGCAAGCTGGCACTGGGTAGGGAGAAGCACTCGGGCTCACAAAAGGCCATTGATCCACCCACTGTGGCTGGAGGGGGCCCTGTTTGCCTCACCTACTCAGTGAGTTGGTGAGTAGGTGGCCCAGAGCCTGGCTAATGAGACAAAGGGACCCGGCTGTGCCTGGACACCAGGGATCTGGGGGGCTCTGGGCAACCCCAACACTGAGCTCTGCCTGCCACTAGCTCCTGGACCAAGGCCCTGCCCTGGCCCTCTCCCAGGTGGGTGTTCTCCCCAGGGCAGGTGGCAGGGCATGGACCACTCTCCCAGACTGTTCCCCTCAGGTCTTTCCCACAGCACAGCCTGAGAGGTGTTGTAAAAACAGAAGTCGACTTTTCCTCTCCTCTGCTTACAGCGCTGTGTGGCTCCCCGGTACTGTCAGGGTCCATCCGGACCCTAGCTGGGGAATGAGGCTGGCCCAAGGCAGCCACTGCCAGGGTCCTGGCCTCTTCCATCTGCCACTCTGCCCACCGCCATGGCCCCAGCCACTCTGACCTACTTTTGTGTTTCAGGATGGCCCAGCTGGCTAAAGGCTCGAAGCGTGGCTCATGTGAGTCACTCCTGGGCATGATCACCCCACCTTCCCGCCCCTTCTCAACCTGCTCTGTCTCCTGGACATCCCGCCCCTACCCTGCCTCATCCTTTGGTGCCACCAGCGGGGCCCCAGTGGCAGGTGGGCCAGCCAACGCCCCCACCAAGCCAACGGCTGAGAAGGTGCCCTCTGCCCTGAGGTGACTCCCGGCTCTTCTCAGCCTCACGGGGCCCAGGACAGACTCCTTCCAAGCTGTCTCCCTCACTGAGCACCTATGCAGCACAGCTGGAGCCCCGACGGTACTCTCCCTGAACACTCGATGTGTGCATCTCCGGTCCTCCTCCCGCACCAGTGGCCCCCACCCCACTCCGCTCGGTGCTCTGTGTACCCACCTCCCGATTTCAGCCTGCTGTCCACTCAAGAGAAGGGACAGGGCTCTGGGAAGGAGGCAGTGGGGCTTTTCCCATACACTTTCAGGCCCCACAGAAGTTCCTTTGGTCCTGCTCACTGATTTTTGGGGGTCTCTGGGGGGATGATAATCAAAGTCGCAGGAGACCAGTCAGGGCAGAGGCCCATGGCTTGAGGTTCACAGCCCCAGCCTGTCAACCCTTTGGACCAGGCTCTGAGCACGGACATCTCACCTAGCAGACTCACCGCAGACAGGCCACAGGGGGCTGCCCTGGGGGGCGGGGGGAGGGGCTCGGCTCCTGCCCTGGGCCTTGCTCCCTGCCTGGCCCCTCTGGGCAGGGTGTGGGGAGGAGGGGAACTGAAAGCCAGCTGGTGAGCAGTGGTTAATGTTTATTGAAAGACGGGGTGACAGGTGGGTGCCAGCAACAACCAACTTCCCTGGTGCCCGTGCCAGGGAAGAGGCCAGGAGAAGGCTTTAGGGCTGTGAGACTGGTTGGACCAGAACGGGGTAAAGCCTGGTAGGTGTCTGGGCCCGGCTGAATGGCGCAGATGCTGGTGCTGCCCTGCTGCAGGGACTGGGGCCTCATTGCCCTGGGCAGCAGCATCACCGAGCCCCTGGCTCAGGCCTCGAGCCTCGAGCCATCGGGTGGCATGTACATGGGCTCCACGTGGGCCCAGCTGAGGGCCTGCTCGTCGGCCCAGCTGAGCAGCTCAGCAGCGCGGTGCAGGAAGACCATAAGCAGTGTGTGCACATCGCCCTCAGCAGAGTGGGCCGCACTCGGCTCCGCCTGGAAGTAGCGGCGGAAGAGGCTGCCCAGGCTGTAGCTCTTACCGCCCTGGGCCCGAGTGCCGTGGCTGTGGGCATGGTCCAGGCCCCGCAGTGCTGCAAGCGTGTCCAGGCAGACGGTGCCCTGGGGCAGATGGGCACCCAGGCGCTGCAGCTCCATGCAGAGCAGGGGGAAGTCGTAATCGAAGCCGTTGTGGGCCACCAGGCACACAGGGTCCTCCTGGCGACTCAGGAAGGCCTGCAGTGTCCGCACCACGGTGCCATCAAACCCGGCCTTCCCGCACCTGGCCAGGCCCTCGCGGCTCAGGCCAGTAATCTCACTGGCCTTGGCAGTGAAGGGGCGCTCCGGGCTCATGCACAGTGTGAGCTTGTCCATGACCCGGGGTGGGAGGGGGGTCCCAGACTCATCGTGCTCGGGGTTCTCCAGGGAGGACCGGTGGACTGCAGACAGGGAGAGCTCAGCAATCTCAGGGTCCATGCTGGGGAGCCCGGTGGCTTCCAGGTCCAGAAAGACAAAGGTCTTGGCCCGAGGTCCCTTGGACATGGTGATGGTTTTCACAGAACAGGGAAGCCTACAGCTGCCGAAATAAGAGGCAGACGACACAGGGGCCAAAGAGATGGGGATGCCTGGCCTCGGCCGGCCACAGCTTTGCCCATTGCCAAGGTTCTGACCCTTCTGGCTTCCCTTCTGGCTACCTCATGGGCCTTTAGGCTCTAGGAGCCATTTCTAAGACCCAGATCCAGAGAGACTGCTATGGGGCCTTCCAAACTGGGATCCAGTGACTGGGATCTGTAATTTCTGTCCAGGATGAGGCCTCCTAGGGTCTTGTCACCCCCTCCATGGTGGCCCTCAGACCCTCCCAGACCATCCCCACTGCTACTATGTAGTAAACAGCAAAAGGCAGGTCTGATATGCCCAGACCCTGGCCTGGGGGCCTCTGCCTCTGGAACCGAAGGACATGGACAGGCAGTGTGCCAGGCCCATGTCACCAGGGACTGCAGCCTAGGATGGCACCATCACCAACACACTGTGGCCAGCAGCTTCAGGCCCAGTGCCCAACAAACGTGACCCTGGGATCAGCTGCTGGAAAGCAGGCACCCAAGACAGCTCTCCTGGGAATTCCCAGCCTCCCTGGCTTGGCCTCCTCCCAGCACACAGGTGGATCCAATCCGGATCTGACCCAATCTGTCCCCCGTTCTGCCTCCGGCCCCGGCAGCTGGCCACGCTGGCTTACCTGCAGCAGCTGCTGGCCGGGTTCTTGGGCTACTGGACACCTGTCTCACACAGGCTGCTCTGGGCGGCCTTTAATCTGTGGCTGTGGCCCGCCCCCAGCCGCCTGTTGGGTAGGGAGGAGATCTGAGGCCACAAGACCTGTGCGGCTGGCTTGCCACCCCCTCACTTGCTCATAGCTGCTGGGACACACGCCCCATGTTTTTACAGGCCGAAAAACTGGCTCCTGGGCCACAGGCGGGCTCCCCACAGGTGGAGCACAGCCTGGGCTGGAAGAACGTGTCGTCACAAATGTGTCACAGGCGTGAAGAGGAAACCCAAGCCCTCTGCCCTGCCTCCACGACTGATCAGGGCTGGCGGCAGCAGCCGGGCCTGCTGCCTTGGGTTCAACACCCAGCCCCGGGCTAGCACCCTCCCACAGGAGTATCTCCAGGGCACAGCTCCTTCACCAGAGGCAACCAAAGTGAGCTAGGAGGACAGGCCACAGTGTGGCCCCACTGATAGCAGTTGGGGTGCATCAGGGCAGCAGCCCTCCCACTTTGGAGGGGGCTCCTCTTCCTCTAGAGTATCTCAGGGGCCTGGAGCAGAGGCTGCCAGGGAAGGTACAAAGGGAGGTGTGGCAGGTGGGAGCAGCCCTCTACCGAGTGCCATGAGAGCCAGAGGCTCCGGGTCCTACCCAGCCCAAGTGGCTCAGGCCAGGGTGAAGGGCACAGTCAACGTAGGAGGTAAGAGAAAAGGCCCTCCCTGCTCCAGGAGAGCGGATGGCACCATCCCCAGGACCTCATCCCTGGGCAAGCCGTGCCAGCCTCCGGCAGTGGGTGCTCACAAGCCCAGTCTCCCACTGGGGTGCAGGGAGGCAGCCAAGAGCCAGGGGCAGCCTGCCCACAGCGGGCCCTTCAGTCTCCTGGGCTGTAAAGCTGTCAAGGAACCTGGGCCACAGTGCCCAGGGGTCTGCCTGTACTCCCACCTCTGCCGATGGCAGGGGACCAGCTCCCTGGAGCTTCCTGGTCTGGAACAGCCACAGGGGAATCAGGGAAATGAAGGTGCAAGTGAGATTGGCAACCAAATGCTTATATGGGGTGGGGGGGCCTCCCAGCACCCTTCAGCCTGATCCTGAGCTGAGGGGGGCAGGGGACCCAACTAGGTGTGCCTGTCCCCGGGCTTGCAGGAGGGAGGTGGCTGTGACACAGCTCAGGCAGATACTGGGTGGCCCTGGAAAGCCCCGACAGCTGCTTCCTGGCCAACCAGTCGGGCCACCAACAAGAATTCCCCAGGTCAGTGCTGGGTGGCCTGGGGAGGCAGGAGAAGGAAGCACACGCCCCCACTGGCCACACCCCAGATACAGTGGGTGCCAGCACCCCGAAGGCCAGCCCAGGGTTGGGGGTAGGAAGCAGCGGATCAGGGCCTGGTGGAGGCCATGGTCGCATTCAGCCAGGAGTCATGACAAGACACCGCCAGGCTTAACAGGCGATGGAACATGGGGCAGGCAGGATGGGCAGGGAGGCAGTCAGGCAGAGCCACAGAAGCAAAAAAGCAGCCTGGAGGCAACTTCTTAAAACCTGGGCTTTCTTTTCTCCCCAGCTCACACCATCCAAACCCGCCCTACCCCACCCCACCTCCAACCCCCCCCCTCCCCACGTTTCCTTCCCCTCACTCCCCACCCCCCCCCACCCCATCCCCCCCCCCACCAAAGAGCTGAAGGTGCTGAGCAGCTAGAGGCGGCAAGGGGGCTGACTGCTGCTGCCTGGCTCTTCGGGGTAGAGCTCCCTGCTCACAGGCTACTGTGGGCCTTTGTGCAGACGGTCGCTGAAGGTCTTATATTGCTGGGTTAGCTCTTCTATTTTGGTGGCTGCCAATGAAAGAGAACGGCAAATAGCAAGGTTAGTCAGTCCAGCTGTCCTCGGACCCCGGGCACTCAGTGACGGGTTGAGCCAGGAGCCCCTGACGGGGCCAGGGCCTGGTGAGCTCCGATGGAAGCCCCTGGGGGCCCCAGACAGAGCCCCCAGGCTGGGGTTCACTGGCTTGGCCGGGTCCCTCCCTGCCACTCTCCGCAGAGCCCAGGAGCCAGGGAGGTTCATCATTTGGATGCTGTATGGATTTTGATCAGTCCTTCCTTCAGCTCATCCGAGTCCATCCTCCAGGAGCTCACCTCTCCAGCCCATCCTCTGCCCTCCCACAAGGTTGGCAAGTGGTGTTCAGTCCTGCCCATCCCAAGGGTGAGTGCAAAGCTTGGGCATCACGGTGATGGCTGGGCAGGAATCTCACAGAGAGGAGACAGGCCTGGTCCCAACGAGCCTTCCCACTCACCACCGCCACTCCCTCTGAGGGCACTCACATTTCTCTTACATACAGATAGGATTCGGGGGTGTCATTTCCCTTTACCAAGTCCTCAGATTCTCCCAATCTCCAGATGCCCCAGCCCTGCTCCTGGGCTCCCCCAGATCCAGGTGTATTCCCAGCTCACATGTCACCACTCTGTCCCAGGCCCTCGGTGCTACGTGGCCTTCTCTTGGCTCAGGGTTTGGCCAAGCTGTGCTGTCTCTGCAAGCCTGGGCCCCCAACGCTGCATCCCTGCTACTGTGGATTATGGGAGGCTGGGTCTGGAGTGCGTCCTGGGGCTCCCTCTGGTCTGGACTCAGCCCTCAACTCTGCAACTGCCTCCCTCCTCCTTCCTTCCTTTCTCAGCGTCAGAGATCTCAGCCCATCTCTGTGCTGTTTTTCTTTGCCCTTGTTTGTATATCTGCCCCTTGTCTCTTGAGCCTCGAGATGTTTTCACTCAAGATCTGCCTAACTCTCTCATGGACTGTTCTGAACACTTTGACAACCATGTTTAACCCCTAAGAGTGTCTGCTTAAAGAGTGTCTGCTTGCATTTCTCCTTGCTGGTTTTTCCCAGTTTCCTCAGTATGTGTGGACAAGATGCTGAGTATGTTCATTCAAGTTGGTTGGAAAGTTCTCTTCTCTGAATGACCACTGCCTCTGGCGGTGGAAAAGGGTTGGGGCAAACACAGACAAAGCAGCAAGTGCAGAAAGAGACAATAGGGCAGGAATGGCCCAGGAGGGCTCTGAAGAGCTGCAAGAGTCCTGGGAATGTGGAAGTCCACATGCATGCCTGGGGCCACGAGGGCATCTGGGAGAGACCTGCAAAGGCCCTGAGCCCATGACTTTGCTTGACCTTAAGGCAGGACCAACAGAGGTGCGGAGGAAGGAAACATCGTCAGCCATCTGGCTGAGTGTGGAGGAAAACCATGAAGCTACACGCACAAGTAGCTCACACAACTCCAAATGGGAGAAACTCAAAAGTGACCCCACACCAAGACTGTCAAAAAGAGCCAAAGTGCAAGACAGATCTGAGAACGGAAGATGGAAGAGACTACACCAGGGCCTCCATTACATGTCAATGAACGTGAGTGATCACAGACCCTACTTGGGAGTGTAGGCACCGGGAGAGAATCCTCACCAAGCCGGGCCAGCGCTCAGCTTCAGGCAGGAAGCGGCTGATGGAGTCGCTCTTGTGCGAGGCATGTTCCATCTCTTAGCCTAGTCTGTGGTCACAAAACTATCTGCTTTAAAGTCAGTGGCAATGGACTGAAGGGGGTTTGCCACAGCCCAAGGGACAGAGGCAGCTTTTCACTTGACTAACCCTGAGTTAAGACTCCTCCCAAAAGGCTGCTTTTTTCTTATAACAAAAAACAACAACAATGAAAAACCTTCTCTGAGTGTATTTTTCATAAGAAGAAACTTACTCAGAAACAAAGTTTAAAATTAAATGCAGACACAATTTTGACCTTACCCAATAGCAGGAAGGTGGGAAACAACAAAGCTAGCCCCACAAAGGGGAGAAGCTGGCCTCCCCGCAACAACGGCAGAACCTCACCCCCGTGTGGAACCTCAACTGTTGAAACGAGTTCACTGCAACCTTTCTTAAAGGTTGACAATCACAGGGAAATTCCCTGGGTGATACATGTTCACTGCAGAATATGTGAAGGCTGCAGAACAGGATAAAGAAACAGGAAACAAACTAAACAATCACAACAAACTGGAAAATTCTTCAAGAGATGAGACTACTAAACCACTGTACCTGCCTCCTGCGAAATCTGTATGCAGGTGAAGAAGCAACAGTTAGAACCAGACATGGAACAACAGACTGGTTCCAAACTGGGAAAGGAGTATGTCAAGATTGTATACTGTCACCCTGCTTATTTAACTTATATGCAGAGTACATCATGCGAAATGCTGGGCTGGATAAAGCACAAGCTAGAATCAAGATTGCTGGGAGAAATATCAGTAACCTCAGATATGCAGATGACACCACCCTTATGGCAGGAAGATAAGAACTAAAGCGCCTCCTGATGAAAGTAAAAGAGGAGAGTGAAAAAGTTAGCTTAGAACTCAACTTTAAAAAAAACTAAGATAATGGCATCTGGTCCCATCACTTCACGGCAAATAGATGGGGAAACAATGGGAACTGTGACAGAATTTACTTTCTTGACAAGTTTATACTGGGCTCCAAAATCACTGCAGATAGTGACTGTAGCCATAAAGTTAAAAATGCTTGCTCCTTGGAAGAAAACCTATGACCAACCTAGACAGCATATTAAAAAGCAGAGACATTACTTTGCTGACAAAGGTCCGTCTAGTCAAAGCTATGGTTTTTCCAGTAGTCATGTATGGATGTGAGAGTTGGACTATAGAGAAAGCTGAGCACCGAAGAATTGATGATTTTGAACCACGATGTTGGGGAAGACTCTTGAGAGCCCCTTGGACAGCAAGGAGATCCAACCAGTTCATCCTAAAGGAAATACTCATTAGAAGGACTGATGCTGAAGCTCCCATACTTTTGCTACTTGATGCACAGAGCCAACTCATTAGAAAAGACCCTGATGCTGGGAAAGATTGAAGGCAGGAGGACAAGGAAGGGGGTTACAGATGATCAGATGCTTGGATGGCATCATCAACTCAATGGATAAGAGTTTGAGCAAGTTCTGGGAGATGGTGAAAGATACAGAAGCCCAGCATGCTGCAGTCCATGGGGTTGACATAACTTAGCGACTGAATAACAAACAATCTAAATCACCTCTGACTCTGACACAGAGAAAATCAACATCCATGTGGTAGCTCAACTCCTACAATGGATTCCTCTGCATATTTTCCCTTTAGAAAAGTAAGATCATACTGTGTATTTCACTTTTAACCTGCATTTTCCTTTTAACATTATATGCATTTCCTCATGTCCTTGTAACCAAATTTTGAAACAATACTGTCCCACAATATACACATAACCAGTATCTACCCAAGCATTATCCAAGAATAAAACCTTGAATTATTCCCATTTGTCAGTATTGCAAATGCTGGAACAGTATAACAATAAATAATCGAAAGTGACCTACAGGCTCAGTAACAGAAAACATTAAGCAAATTTTAGCTCATGTCTGAAAGGAAGTGTCTGACGATTGGAATTATGACTTTGAGAACCTGGGTCAATGCTTAAAATGAGGTCCAAGGGAAAGAATATAATAGTGTAGTATGATGTGATTAGATTCAACTTATAAAAAAATATAAAAAATGATGAGAGGTGTACACCTATGGCTGATTCATGTCAATGTATGGCAAAAATCACTACAATACTGTAAAATAATTAGCCTCCAATTAAAATAAATAAATAAATTTTAAAAAGTGATGAGAGGAAACAGAATAGAGGGAAACAGACCAAAACATGAACACTGACCGCTTCTGGGCCACTGTGTTATGCAGTGCTTTTAGTTTCCCTCTGCACGGCTTTAGAGAATCCCCATTTTCCACCATTCATGGTTTTCTTTTCTGATCTGTCAAAAGCATTTTTTAAGGGAAGGAAAACCTTAAGCATCAGAAAAAGAAGAGAACAGGAAGGGACCAGTCCCCAAATGCAGGCCGAGGTGCCCTA